TCCACAGTCAGGAGCCTTGTCTCTGAGAGCTTCTTGGAATATGGTGCCACAACTGTGGGGAGAGTGTTCTCTCTCACTTGGGGGATTGCTCACCTCCTGTGCCCCTGCTCTGGCCTCCCTTAGAAGGACCACACAAACACTTTTGCGTCCTAAACCCAAAGCCATTCCTTAAGCCAAAGGCACCTCCTCCCCCTCAAAATGCCGCAGGAGCCCAAAGTGCCCCCCACCCGGAAGGCAGCGCCCCACCACTGCCACTACACCGTCCTGGCCACAGTCACCCAGCGCACTCAGCAGTTCGATGCCCCCATAGTCCTCTTTTTGAAAATAAACCCCACACCAAAGATGCAAACGCTTATCCCGACAAAAGGGTTTCAAGATGGAAAGAAAAAGCGCCAGGCATTCCTTTACCCTTTTATTCTCCTTGAGGGAGCAACTTCTTAGAACGGCAAAAGAGGGCCTTCCCTTTTCCTTTTTCTGGGGGGTGTGCTCCCCTCTGTCCAGGCTGCCTGCTCTCGAAAGTGATTCCTTACCCTCTTCTGCTTCCCGCTCCTGTCTCCACTATGCGTCCGTGATGCCTTCTGGAAGCCCCCCTGACTAAGTTGGGGGAGCTTGGTTCACGATTCTTTATCTCAGTTCACAGCGACCTGTTCTATTTACTATGAATTTTTCTCAGAAACGACCTAACACTGCAGAGCTAGATGAGAGCAGTTGCTGATTCAAAGCCAGGAAAGGGTGTGTATGCACCTGTGTGTGTGTGTGTGCGTGTGTTCAGAACTTTGATCCTGGCTCTACATAGTGAATATAATAATATGAAACGCTCGTCTGTCTCTCTCATGCCACCATAAGATGCCTGTTGGAACTGAATCAGAAGTGTCATCAGATGGCACATCTAAACTGGATCTTAGTTTCTCTCTGCTGCTGTAACACATGACCACAGACTTCATGGCTTAAACAACAGAAATCTGTTTTCTCACAGTTCTGAAGGCTAGCCGTCCAGATTCAGTGTCACTGATTTCATTTGGGCCCCAGATCTAAGAGTTCGCAGGACGGTGCTACCTGCAGAGGCTCGAGGGGCGAGTCCGCGCCGAGCTTCCACCAGCTTCTAGGGTTTGCTGGCATCCCTTGGCCCATGGCCGCAGCGCTCCCGTCTCTGCTTCCATGGTCACATGGCCTTCTCTTCTGTGTCCAGCCTCCCTCTGCCTCTCTCTTACAGGGACACTTGGGACTGCATTTAGGGCACACCTGGGCCATCCTGGATGCCCTCCCCATCTCGAAAGCCTTAGCAATCCCATCTGCCATGTCCTTTTGTCCATTGTGAGGTAACATTCACGGGCTCCAGGGATTAGGACGTGGATATCCAGCAGTCATTGTGCAGCCATTATTCAGCCTGCCATACCACCCGTCCCCATGATTCCCACACACGTGCCCCCCCCCCAAGTTCTACGTAAGCTAAGGGCCAGCTTCTCTCCCTTTCGACTTCCTGAATCTGAGGGGACCAGCTTTGTTGCGCTTTCTCTCTTATCACTCTCTGCCACCTGCGGTAGCAACAGGGTCCTCGGTATCTCGCTTCTCCTGCCATCAGGCTACCTTCTTCCCCCAAAACATGGGCCAGGTGGGGCAGGAGAGGTACAAGCCTTAAATGTGGCAGAGGCCAACTAGGCCCATTTTGTGGCCGTAGGAATCAAGGTGTTTTGCTGTTGCTTCTCTTTGACCGGCGCAGCAGATGTCTTGCCACTGCCTTTCTGTCAGTACTTCTAGAGACCGTAAAGTCAATGAGGACAGAAGGCAGCCCCTCGGCTTAGAGGCCCTGGTGCCCAGCGGTGTCCCAGGAGGCCAGACACTCAGCTACGTCTGTCCCCTTGCACACGCCCTCGGACAGCCACACGGCCCCTCCCTTCCGTGGTTAGCCACCACCAGCCGGTCCTCTTGCACGGGCCATGGCGTTGTGCCATCCCTCCCGCTCTGCGGCCCTGCGCTGGGGCGGGGACCCTGTTCCCGTGGCTGTTGTTAGAGCGCAGAGTTGAGCCCCGTGCCGCCTCCGGAGCTGCTGTCCTGCTAACACCGCGCCTGCCCCTACCTGGGGACACCACGGGACGGCGAGGGCTGGGGAAAAGTCACTGTGGAGAAGCGGCCGTGCTGGGGCTGTCCCGGCCAGTAACCACTGCTCCCGTGTCAGTCCCTATCTGCTTAAAGCAGAAGGGTGCATGGGTAGAAGGGACTTCCATGGAGGCCGTGTGTAACTGGAAACCTCCTCTCTACTGAAAGAAGTCTCCTGAAAGGAAATGAAAACCAGTTGCAGAGGGTCCAGGGAAGGTTTTTCCTGGTTTAACCAATGCTATCTCCTTGTCGAGAATAACTCGGCCTCAAAAAGAAGGGTCAGAACTTACGAAAAGGAGGCTTCACAAGGGAGGATGACAAGGATACAGTGAACAGTCTCTAGCTCTTTTCAATGATCCAGCCACGATTTTCTTTTCTTTTTTTTTAAGATTTTATTTGTTTATTTGCCAGAGGGAGAGAGAGAGAGCACAAGCAGGGGGAGTGGCGGGCAGAGGGAGAAGCAAACTCCCCGCTGAGCAAGGAACCCGATGCGGGGCTCGATCCCAGGACCCTGAGATCATGATCTGAGCCAGACAGCCGCTTAACTGACTGAGCCACCCAGGCGCACCTATCCAGCTACGATTTTCACTGTTTGTTTATGTACGGCTCTTAGACACAGACACTGTCTAGGGGTCTCTAGTGTTTTTGTACATATATGCGCAACTGAAGATTTTTTTCAAATTCAGAATTGACAAAGGACTTGATTTGAGTAGGTACTGTGATAAACTAGAACACTTACGGTGGTGACTTGAAGAACAAAGAGTTTGATATAGTCTAAAAATACATAGGGGACAAAAAAAAAAAGGAGGGAGGGAGGGAGTTCTTGGTGAGTCTGGAACATTATTCAGCAAACATTTGCCAAGCACCTGCTATATGCCAGGCCGGACACTGGACTAGGAAGTGGGGATACAGCCATGAACCAGACCTGATCCAGATTAGGAGTTTATAGTCTAATGGGGAGACTGGATGAATAAACACTCAATTAAAGTTTGAGGTGTTAAGTGTATCAAAGAGACAGTTAATCCTGTCTTGGAGGATCAAGAAGGCTCCCCAAAGTGATGCTGATGTTGAGAATCAAATGAGAAATAGCACTTGGTCCAGAAAAGGGACTGAGAATCTTCTAGACAGGAACAGAATGTGCAAAAGGCCTGAAGGTGAAAGCATCATGGCAGATGGGGGTATGGGGTGAGCCAAGAGACTTGATGGCTGAATGAGCCAGAGAAAGGCAGGTAAGCGTGTGTAGGGAAGAAAAGATGGCAAGAGGGAGTGGGAGGAAGCATGCAGTCAGTCCGGTCCAGCTTTCTCCCAGCCGAGTGACCCAGCCTCTGGGACATGGTAGCTGTTGTCACTGAAGGTAGGCTCCTGTCAGGCCAGTAAGCTGCCTCATCCTTTCTGCTTTCTTCTGAGACTCCAGGAGACTGCAGCTCCTCACTCACTGCAAAACTGAGGGGAGGGCCTTCAGGAAGCTGTTAGGACCAGAGCCCACCATACTGTCTCCTGTCCCAGACCTGATCTGGGGCTGAGAAGTTTGGGTCCTGAGAGTGGAAAGAAACCTTCCTTTCTAGCGGGGTTCTGGATCGATCCCCAACCCGGAGCAGGTTATCACATTCACAGCTCTGATGTCACACCTTATAACCCAGGGAAAAAAGTTCCTGAGGTCACCCCCAATAAAACACAAGAAATTTTAGAAATCACCTGACAAGAAATGTCAAGCAATACTGACTGGAAATCAGACCACAGCAGCTGCTTTCCACAGCTGCATCCCATGTGGTGACCGTGTCTTAACAAACTAAATGAGTCTAAAAATAACCAGGAATGTAAAACCCTTCAGGAGCTGGGTCTCTGAATGAGATCGCCTCAGAAATGAGGAGGGGGGCGGTGGTTGTCTTTGGGCCATTTGATCAGTGGTCAGAGGTGTATCACCCGAGGGCCGGAGACACAACCCCGGGAACCTGCAGTTCCCCACTCATACTGACTGATCAAACTTCATGGTACCCATTTTATAGATGGAGAAAAAACATGTTGGCATCTGAACTCTTTCAGACTAAGAATTCCTAACGTCAGCTATCATCCAAGCCCAGGTGACTTCCTAAGAAAAACAAAAGCAAGGAAGTACAGAAATCAGTAACTGTTTCATTGTTTCCATCATATGTCTGGGCCCATTAGCATGGAGGGAGTCTGTGACACTTTCCTAAGAAGCAGCCCTTCTTTTAGCTGTGAAACCGAGACTGGGACTTTCTCCCCCAGTAGAGGAAAAAGTTGACGTCAGAAGGAAGCATGCTCCACCAAGACAAAAGCAAAAGGAATTTTTTTTTTTTTTTTTTTTACTGTGGGAAATTTTAAAAGATCTACCCATTTAGCCGCCCCCCCCCAAAAAAAATAGATATGCTTTCCGTGGATAGAAAAGCACCAGTGAATTTTTTTTTTTTACTGCATTTTTCTAGTAAGAAAGCGAATTTATCCCTGGTTGTAGTAGCTCTATAGTAATTATAATAATAGCACCAGCAAATGCTGGTTAAGCACTTAGGCGGGAGGCACTGTGCTGAGAAAGCTCTTTGCCATGGCTCATGACTCTTTGATCTTCACAAAATCTGGATGAGGGTGATACCACTGTTATCCCTGTTTCATGACTGAGGAAGCGGGTGTTTGCAGAGGTGTAGAAATTTGCCCAGAGCACACCGCGTGTCTGTGGGGAGGGCAGGGTCTGCCCCTGCCAGCCATGCTCCAGACTGACACCCAGGATGCTAAAGTGCCCCGGGTCTACTGTTTGTCACGGGTTGACACGGACTGGTTTTTGTTTTGTTTTGTTTTTTTAGAGTCTTCTCAGTTTCCTGTGGAGAGTTTTTCAGTTTGATTTGCATTTCACCCTTTCCATTATTGGTGATCTTCGGTGCTTCCTTTTCCTCCCATAACCTGGATGAATGCGCGCTGAATCTGGGACCAGAAACCTGGGTGGGGGGTTTCACTTCCCCCACCAGCCACCTCCGTGATCTTGCCCGATTTGCCACCTCTTCACGCCGGTTCTTTGTCTGTAAAATGAAGTTGCAGGAGTTTAACAGGGATCCGCCCCTGTGCTAAGTAGCCTCCTTCCTCTCCCCTCTCCCCTCCTGACCTTCCAGCTCTTCCTTCGCTTCCTGGCCACTGGCAGGCCCTCAGGCCCTCCTTCTTATTTGTGCCGGGCAGCGGGGGAAGTGGTGTGAGTGTGGGCTGTTGTCCAGGAGGCTCGGGGGACCCCGACAGAGTGAGGAGGACAAGCAGGGTGATGTTGCTCAGTGGGACACACAGGTGGAGCTGGGACCCCTGCAAACACTGTAATGCTTTAACTCATCTTAACATGAAAAACTTCAGGGGCACCTGGGTGGCTCAGTCGGTTCAGCGTCTGCCTTCAGCTCAGGTCATGACCTCAGGGTCCCAGGATCGAGTCCTGCATCTAGCTCCCTGCTCAGCGGGGAGTCTGCTTCTCCCTCTGCCCCTTTCCCTGCTTGTGCTAATGCACGCTCTCTCTCTCTCTCTCTGACAAACAAATGAATAAAATCTTAAAAAAAAAAAAAAAAAGACAAACTTTAAAGGCCTTTAGGAAATGAGGGTAGTTTGGGACAGAATTCTTTCATTCTGAACACCAGTTCAGGGAAACCTATTTTTTAGTCCAAAGTCTTTCTAATCCTGAGTTTGGTGGTTTCTGCTCACCATTAGCAGACAGTATCATGCCTTCCATGGTAGGATGGGAGTCAAGACAGGAAGTGAATGATACCCGGTGAAGAGAATTTTTTTCGATACCATTTTTAGTTGACTTTTCCTTTAACCACAGAACATAAAATTATTTGTTGTCAGAGGATGTGTACATTGTATTAGACTTGAGTATTTGGAATATTTCAGGGAAACTGGGATTTATTTAATCCAGGTTCGGCTGGTTAGGGTTCTGTGGACAAAGAAGTAATCACCCCCCATATCTCGGCACAGTAATGTTTTCCCAAATCATTTTAAATTTGGGGTCATTCATTTCACTAGTGTGTGTTTTTAAGTATTCCTTAAAGCTCTGGTCGCGAACACAGAAGCAAGTCTGTGAGGCATTGAAATTTCCTCTTTAACTTCCTCAGACTTCTTTTCAGTTTGTTCTTGATTATGTGGGAATTTGTGGGCCTTGATCACAGAAAGTCAGCCTCTAAAAGAGGAAGAGTGCTTTAATGTCACTATCATAACACTCATTTTAGACTACAGAAATGATGTGCATCACTGGGGCCTTCTCGTCCCTATTTTAGGTGTGTTTCCAAGGAGTAGGTTGGTTGTCATGGTTTAGAAGAACTTCACTGTCAGGATGCAGTCATACTAGAGGGAGGCACAGGCCGTCTGTCCCTCGGGGAGAGGTCTTGAGGAAATAAATAGCCTCCCGGCCAGAATGTTTCAGATGTTTCTCTGCTAGCAGAACTCAAGGTCAGATCATTTCTCAAGGCCCAATTCTAGAATTCTCAGCTTCCAGAACTGAGGTTTTGTCTTTTAGGTAAATGTACGGAAAGGTAGCATGTTGTCTTTAGGCTTTCCCCAGTTGTACTGGTCAGGAAGTGGCTGGACAAAGGGGCTAATTCCCTGTCTCCACCTTCTCAGCATTCTCGTCCTTCTCTTCCCTGTTCATACTCCACCTCCACTATTCCACCTTTGTCGGTCATCTCTGAATACTTAGGTAAGGTTAGAATTCTGGAATGCCGGCATAAGAGCAGTTCCCATTTATTATTTTTGTCCAGAGTTTTTCCGTCAATGGCTGTGGCAAGGCCTGGGTGAGAATTCTTCCCTACCCTGGGGTCCCAGAGTGGTTTCCAAAATTAGCACAGAGCACAGAAGACTCTTGGAATGGACACAGCACCTGTCCAGTGAGGCAGACCCAGTTCTGTTGGTCAGGAAAGGGCACTCCACTCAGATTCCGTGTCCTCTTATTCCTGGGAATGCCACGGCCCTCGTCACAGCAGCTGAGAGCAGAGCCCTTAGGAGCTAGCTCCCATCACTCCCCTAGTATCCATCAGCATGCCTGTTGGATATCTTACAAAGTGTGATGCTCCAGACCCGGGCAAGATGTGTCATAAAGGGGAGACTTCGCCTGGTGGATAAAAACGCATGTGTTCCTGCCCACGTTTTGCTATTCGCTGAGTTTTCAAAAACTTCCCAACCACACCCCTCGGTCTTTGTTTGAGCTCAAAGGGAGGCATCTGTGCTAACAGGATGTTTCTGGGCTCAGTCCCTGTTGCATTCAGGAGGCTGACTTTGGGAGGTCCACTCTAGAGACTTCATCTGAGCCCAGTGCCCAGGCCACCCCCCTCGGCGGCGAGTGTCCCGTCACGGGCTCAGCGGTTACACAGATGATTAAGACCAGTTTCTGCCCTCAAAGAGTCCTTTCACGAGTCTTTCCCTGTTTGAGTGGAAATACAGTCTGAGAGATGAGGTTGGGTTTCAAGTACCCCCCCCCCCAAAAAAAATACCCCACAGATTGATTTTCTTTTTCTGGAGCAGGAATCTGAGCAGGAACACCGTCAGGTGTGGCAAACTGCTGCAGGATAGTGGTCGCTGGCCTCAGGCTTCAAGGGTCCCACTAATCCTATTTCACATGCTGCAGGGGGTAACCCTTTCTCCTCCCTCTGCTTTTAAGCACTCTGGCCAACATAGATCCCTGGTTTAAAGAAGAAAAATGAAAGAAAACTTGCTATCCGCCCAAATACCCCATGTCTTAATGTTTTTGTCTTAAACCAATGGTACCCCTTGGCTGACCCAAAATCCGCATCCCCATTCCCTTGCAGCCACCCAGTGAGCTCAGTATGCCCGCAGATGAGCTCAGCCCCCAAATCATCACCTTCTCCAGAAAGACAAACAAAAACAGCCGGAAGGAGGGAGGGTGGCCTGGGGGGCGGGGGGCATAAATGGTGCATCCCACTACAGTCTGGAAGGAGGCCTGCGCTGCCGGGCCTCCTCGGTGGGCGTGCGTGCGTGCGTGAGTGTGTGAGCACACATTTGCCGCCCGCCGCCCGCAGCACCCGCCCCGGGCCCGCGGCGGTGTCGGAGGGAATCGCTAATGCGCGCGTCGCCATGGCGACCAGGGGAGCGGCGGAGCTAAAAGCGGCAGCCTGGGCCGGCCCGCCTCCCCCGCCGCAGCCCACCCTGGGCGGCGCGGATTCTCTTTGTCTCGCTCGCTCGCTCGCCTGGCCTCCCCCTTCTCTCCCTTCCTCCTTCTCCTCCTCCCCCCTCCCGGCCTTTGTCACCGCGCCCCCGACCCTCCCGCCTCAGGTGCCGGGAACCCAGGGCTGAGCCCGCCGCTCCCATGTGTTATTCTTGGGGACCGTAATGCCTCCCTTGAAACCAGTCTTTTAAAGAGAGGATTAGGAGCACAGGAGCTGCTCTTCCTCACCTGGACGCCCGGCCCTTGGCTCGTTGCCCCTCCGGCTGCGGCCCTCGGTGGCCACCCTCTCACAGGACAGGCGAGGTCCAGGGCTGCCCACCCAGCCCTCGACCCCCGCCCCCCGGCGACGAGGAGCTGGGAGTCCTGCAGACTCACCTCATCCGGGCCTCAGAGAACTCCTCAGCTACGGGAGTTCCTCATCTAGATGGGGCTGCTGGCCCCAGATCAGAATGCCCAGGGCTTGAGCTCTTGGGGTCGGGGGCTGTGGCATTGCTGTGTAAGCAGAATGCCCCGTGCTGCTGTTAGCATTCAGGGTAACCTAGTAATGAGGGAGGCTGGGGCCACAGCAATGACCCCCAACCCATAAACCTTTCTGTTATCCATCTTTGTCCCGGGGCAGCATAGCGGCTCTACTGGATGGCGCAGCTTAAAATGTCAGATTGTCTTAGATTCTAGCTGATCCCCCCTTCTAAACAACAAGGAAGGAAGGAGGGAGAGAGGAAGGAAGGAAGGACATTTGTGAACAACCATGGTTTAGATTTTTAAAATAAACATATTCTGAATACTAGCTCTATCCAGCTTATAGTTAGGCATTTGGCTTACCTGTACATTTTGGAATGATCTCTTCCATGTTCTGAAAGTCACACTCAGTATTGAAATGATGAAACACTGATTAACAGGAACCTCAGACCACTCTTGTCAAGAGTCAGTGGCGCTCTAATATCCTCTTGTTTCCATAACATTCCATGGTTCCACCTCCATCACTCCTACCTCAGAAATGAAAGGATGCCTTTCGGATGGGTATGGCTGAGGTTTCAGCTTTAAAGTCACCCCCTGATAAACAAATGAATATATCATATATACAGAACAATGTCTGGATTGCTACACAGTAGGGGGATGGTAGGTGCTTGTAGGGAGGGGAGCTGAGAGGCTAGAGGAGAGGGCGGAAGGAAGATGTACTTTCCCTGTATGTACCCTGGACCTGTGCATGTTATGGCATGTGCATTTAACTTTGACTTTTTAAAATAAAATGTGATATTAAAATTTAATATCACTTCCTCAAGAATGCGTTCTCTAATTCCCCCCAAAGTAGGCCTATGTGATTCCATAGTATTCTGTACTTTTTATTTTCAGCGCTCTCCCCAGAGCTCTGGCTAAACAGTGGTGAGTGTGTAAGTCGTGTTTATGTCTCCTCGCCAGACTCTACGCTCCATGAGGGAGCTCGTCTTACCACTGTGTCTTCAAGGGTCGGCTCGCACTCAGCACTTAGTATGTATCTGTTGATAACAGAGATGAGAAGAAGTGGACAGGAGGGTACTGACTAAGTGATGGGGCGAGGGAGTCAGTAGGGGTGCCCATGTCTACGGCCCTCCTCTAAGCTCAGTGACCCTCCAGAGGCTCAACCCCTCCTGTACTGAGGACCTCTATGACATTGCTCCAAATAATTCCTGTGTCACTAGTCTGTGTTTGCAGTGCATCACAGTAAGAAGCTTGATCAGTCAGTTAACTTGTGTATTAGGGGACTGCTATCACTTGCCAGAGCAATTCCCAAGCAGCTGATTGGAGCAGTTGTCTGAGGCAAGACAGGGTCAGCTCTTCCTCCGGTCATTGCCAGGGAGGGTGACACTCTGGGGCTCTGCAGTGCTGGGCCTGCAGGAAACCACCTGAGGCTTTAAAGCACCAACATTCAGGGCCCACACACAGACCAAGTGAGTCAGTCTCTAGGAGGGGAGCCTGATCCCTGTGAGGGCCCCTGTTTTGCGGATACTTCTCTAATAATCCTGGTATACAGTCAAGGTTAAGAATCACTGCTCCCATTCTGCATGGAGCACTGGGTGTTACGCACAAACAATGAATCATGGAACACTACATCTAAAACTAATGATGTAATGTATGGGGATTAACATAAGAATAAAAAAATAAAATAAAAAATAAAACCTAAAAAAAAAAAAAATCACTGCTCCATGGGCTTCCCAGAGCAAGCAGGGACACTTATGCTCACCAAACCCAGAGATTTTATTTCAGCCATAAAGCTGATGCTAATGCACTTTAGCCTGGACAAAGAGATTTGCTTTAGCCCACCTCAGATTGGTTCAGCGCTGCCCAGAGAACCTCTCCCTCGCTTTGCCTTAAAAAGCCTGCAGGTCGCCTTAAAAACCTGAGGGTCCCCTTCGGTGACAGTTGTTTAAAACAAATATGTAACCATCTAATCAGGGCACGAACCATTTTTCAGACTTGCCCGGGCAGCAGTGACCTAAATATTACTCAGGGTGTCTGACTTCCAGCCCCAGAGGAAGAGTGTATTTGGTTTCATTGTTTTCATGCTAATGAAGTTGAGCCAGTAATTCAAGGTCCCCATTGGGATGGCTAGAATCATTTGATGCTATGAAATAGTTCTTTAGACAGAAAGCAGTGGTATAGAGTTTTTATGGAATTACTCATTTTTTCAGCAGAATCAGTTATACACTCACTCAATCTAATCTGCGGTGCCATCTTTTTAATTGTTAGGAGATAAAGACCGGAGGGGTTGATGGAAATGCGGCGGCCCTTCTACACCAGCCACCGTAAATCTTTGGAAAGTGTGACTAACCCATTTATGAGCCAACAGGTGTAGTGGCAGATTGTTCTGCCCTCTCCCAGGTCACCCTACAGGCAGTAAATAAGGCCTGTGTTAGAAACCACTAAAGCTGTACACACACAGCGGGGAAATCTGCCTAAACTGCCCCCCCAAGACACTAGCTGCAATTGACTTTCTCCTAGAAGTGTGCGTGCACTAAATGTCAAGGCAAATTTGGCTAGCAGCCACCTGGGGATACTTCCCATTGAACTCTCTTAGGAGACCGGGGGCTCAGGGAAATAAAGGTTGCTCTGGGGGCTCTTTAGTTAGTGATCCTGGAGAGAAGTGGAACTCCTTGTGGCAGGCAAGACAAGCGCAGATGTGGTCTCGTTTCCAGCCGGCGCGCTCCAGCCGGGATCCAAACGACCCATTTCTGGGAACTTAAAAAGTAAGAGAGCATTCAGATAGACTGGAGACCCCATGGGGCCTTTGATGTGCCTACCAGCAGCGGCCTGGTGAGTGGTTTCTGTGATGTGGGATTCCTGAGCAAGAAGGACTGGACCACCGCCACCGGTTCCTCTCTCATTAGAGGGCCAGAAATAGATGCCCCATCCCAGGAAAAGGGAAATAAGGCTGCGTGGAATGTTTCATCTGTTGGAATATTGTTCTGCGCTGCCTGACAAGATTACTGAGTTCTCAGTTCTATAGCAGTGGCATTGAGTAAGAGTCTGAAAATTGATGCATTATGTACTCGCTTAAAATAGCAAATGCAGAATAGAAAAACCAGAGCTGCTAAGAAGTGTGCAGGACATATTGATAGAAAGGCCTGCTTCGTCTCTGTTATTAGCAGCATGAAAGGGTGTATCGGAGCAGGGGGCAGATTTTCCATCAAAAGCATTCATGTGGTCAAGGCTTCTGTACCCACAGCGAGACAGGGAGAACATTTTTTAGCTAACATCACTGAGTGCAAATCCTTCTGTTCTCAAACAGGTGGTAGAAAGTAGGCAGTTTGTTTCTTTTCATGTCAGTGTTCTGGAGTTGGTTTATGAGATGGTTGCTTCTGTTTTAAACTCTGAATTCCCCTCAGAACAAAAATCCCCAGTTACTTGCTACCTAATCAAATATTCTCTGCCGTGGGTTACAGTTGCCTGGATGGGCAGCAAAATTTAGTAAGAGTGAGGTGGAAAATGTATAAAAAGAACTGTGTCATCATCCTTTGTCAGCTCAAATGGGATTTTTTAAATACCCAAGAACAGGTTGAAGGGGCCTTCTGGAATCAACACGCCTCGCGTCAGCATGGTGCTAGAAGGTGGCAGAGTTGTTTCTGAAGGGGTTGGCCTGGCCGTGGTCAAGCAAAGAGGCCTTGAGACGCAAGGGCTCTTTCAGCCTCGTCTCAGTTGTTTGACCAACCTTCTAAGCGTAAGACCCTCCTTCACTGAAGCACTTCACTCCGTTAACAAGTGTTCACGGAGCGCGTAGTTCACACCGGGCGCTGCACTGTAGCCACTTGGCCTACATTTTCTCCAGCTCTCCCTGGAGCCCTTTGGAAGAGAGGGCATTGCCCCCTGTTAATTATCCCTGTTTAGGAAACTGAGCTTCAAAGGATCAAGTCATCAGCCAGGGCCAGACAGCTGGGCTTGAGCCCGAGACCAGCTGATTCCAAACTGTACATTCCCTCCACCGTGCCCCATTGTCTCCTCTCTTGATTAAGCAACATTCCCAGAAATACGAAGAAACCTGCAAGTCCCCAGGCCCCGTGTCTCCCCTGCTGCTGCTGCTGCCAGCTGGAATGTCCGGCTCCCAGGTGTGGAAGAGTTGGTTAGTGTCCAGGAGAAATCACTTTTTCCAGGCTCGGCAAGCAGTGTGATGTGCTTACAGCCCCTCCACGGGGACTTGAGCTAACCGTTCAGTAAAACAGAATTTGCTGATTGTCATGGGACACTGACCAGTTTCCAAATTCCTATAGGTCACCACAGTTTGAGAGAACATGGCCTTCTATTTGCAAAGCCAAGACTTCCTTTAATTTTTCTTTTGGTTTTTCCTTTGTCATTTGTACTGGCGCTCCTAGGAATACTGTTCTAAAAGTTTGGACATTTTCAGATAAAGATTGCTGTAAAGAATGTCAGGGAAAGTGTTAAAAATAAATAAATAAATAACATGTAATAAAGGGTTTGAAATGCTAAGGGACCCTGAATGGGGGAGAGTGGTGGCCAGGTTGGGAAAGGCATGGTTGCTCAGGTGGGCCACTGTGCTTGCCATGGTAACGCTGCATTCTCAAATTCTAGGCTTATTTGCCTAAGAGAGCACAGCCCCACAATGATATCGTAAATAACGATTTTATAATAGAATCCACATACAGAGTAGGTTTTGTGAAACAACTGGGATATACGACCTACCTTACTGAATGTGTTCCCTTAAGAAAGGGAGAGTAATGAGGTGTGTACCCCGAGTCTACATCATGTGTAGTGAAGCCCTTTGGATAATTTTCCAGAGGAAGTCAAGCTCAACAGTGTCCACAACCAAACTCATTGTCTCAATCTCTCCCATCACCCAAGCTGAGGAGCTGGGAACGTGGTAGACTCCCTTTTACCATCTACATTCGTCAGTCACCAGATTCTTAGTCTGATGCGTCTCTCGGACTTGCCTATCTTTGCCCTCTTAACAACCACAGTCCTTGCTCCCTCGATTGGCAGTTTCCCAAGTGGTCTTCCACCCTGAAAATGCCCACATCACCTGCTTCCTCTCTGTCAGTTTCATGTCCATTCCACTCTTGATGAAGTGCCTGCTGTAAGCCAGACACTCTTTTAGGCACAGGGGATATAGAAAGATCCATTTCCCATGGAGCTTACCTTTGGGAAGGGGGTGGGAGCCATGGGAAGTCAGTAAGCAAACCAAGGATCAGACAAGTCAGTTTCAGATAGTGGTACCCACACTGAAGAAAACAAAGTATCATCTATCTTCCCAACTTAAGAATCCTTAAGGGGGCTACTGGGTGGCTCAGTCGGTTAAGTGTCCGACTCTTGATTTCGACTCAGGTCATGATCTCAGAGTCATGAGATCAAGCCCCACGTTGGACTCTGCTTCTCTCTCTCCTTAGACACAGATGTTTGATGTAGAACGTGTTTCAAGACAATGCTGAGGAATTCCTGAGCTTGTGAATAGACTTCTTTTTCTTGGCTCCCAACACTGTTCAAAAATGCCATTCTTGGGGCGCCTGGGTGGCTCAGTTAGTTCAGCATCCGTCTTTGGCTCAGGTCATGATCCCAGGGTCCTGGGATTGAGCCCCGCATCGGGCTCCTTGCCCAGCAGGGAGCCTGCTTCTCCCTCTCCCTCGGCTGCTTCCCTTGTTCATGCTCACACTCTCTCTTTCTTTTTGAAATAAAATCTTTTTTAAAAATGCCATCCTTAAAAAAGAAAATGCCATCTTCTAAGCCCAAGCCCAGTGAAAATAATTAATCTTCTATATACATTCTTTTCATGAGTCTCTTTAGCGTATACGCATCCCCAGTGTGTTTTTGTGGTAGCTGTGAACCCCCTTCAGTGCTCCATTCACAGATGGGGGACTGCCATCCTGTTGGCTCCTTTGTCGAGTGACCCGCGGCCACCACAGATCGAAGCCCGGATACTCCTTGACCCCGGGGTTTGAAGAGGCAGATACAGAATGGTGTCCCTGACAAACCACTAGAACCCATCTGTTCAGAGGAAGTTGTGAGTCCTGGGGCATGTTCAGTCCGGTCTTACTTAGCACCTTAATGATGTGAGTAGAAAATAAACACCAGCATTCACAGATGGTGCTAACTTTGGAGGTGCTGTTAACAGAAGCGTCAAGATAGGAGAAGTAGAAATGTAAGCAGGAAACAGCAAAGAGGTTTAAAAAAAAAAAGACCTCTCAAACAAATATTTTTTTGGTAAAATAAAGCCCCTTAGAGCACAAGCACGGAGATGAGAAGCTGAAGGGGAAGTGGGAAAGAGGAAGGGAGAGATGGAAGAGAAAGGCAGGGAAGGGGAGCTTGCAGACAGATGTCTCCCAAAGGCTCTGGCCTCTTGTTAGAGATGGTGTAACACGGCCTAGGTGTCCCCCTGACCCGGCCTGGGAGGCAGCTCCGTTCCCAGCCGCTGTCCCATTTGTTCTGTGGTAGGCTTTTTGTTTGGTTTGGTGGTGTTTTGTCTTGTTGCTTCTGTTTTTGGTTCTTTCTTCATATTTGAGGGAGCCGTGGGTATAGTTTTGTTCTTATCGTTTGGTTTTGCAAGGTCTCATTATCCCTCGCATAAAGCATTAATTTGGGCATTTTTGGAGGGACAGAGGAATGCAGCCTTTAAATAAAGAGTCCAGATTCCAAATATATAAAGCAAAATGAAGCATTCTCACCACCTCGGTCTCCAGTGGTGGGAGGGGGAGACCAATGCGAGCAGCAGGCGGCAACCCCCGGCCTCTCCGGGTGAGCGCCACCGAGCTGCCTCCAGCATGCAGAGGCCGTGGGAGGCCGTTCCCTGCTGCACCTTGCCAGGGGATGGCTGCCAATGCACAGAGAACAGGAACCTTCCGGTTGACAGAGACAGAAGCCAGGAGTGTCCAGGGAGCCACAGTCCTCCTCGGGGACTCCAAATGGAAAGTCAGGACACCAGTATGCACCAGGGAGTAGTCAAAACAGCGCACAGACTCTCCAAGCCCCAGGACAGCGCCCCGTTCTTTGACTGCCTGGAACCAACCACGCCTGGCCACATCAACCATCTGGCCCAGGAGTGAAAGACGTAAATGCCCAGAAAGGGAAACAGACAAGTGGTGCACGTGCGCGTACAGTGGGGGGCATGGTCCGGGGCAAGACAGTCCCAACCGTAGCCCTGTCACAGCAGATTCCGAATGCTTTTGTATCTGACTCGTGAGCGCCGAGGATTGAAGAATCCCATCCCTGCTGCACGAGCACTAGAAGAGCGTCTCGGTGTGGGGACTGGGCAGATGGGGGCATCACACCCGAGACAGACCACCTGGGCCTGGGTCTAGCCGCACCACTTCGCAGCTTTGAGGAGCCACATGACCCATCCGAGCTTCTCTATCCTTGTCTGCAGCACGGGCATCATCAGCACCTCCTAAGGTTTGGGTAAGGATTAAAGGAGGTGATGCGAATAGTAAAATGCTTCATCCAGTGCCTCGTACACAGCAAGTTCTTGATAAATGCATGATGATTGTCAGCCTCCCCTGCCCCAATCTACATTTACATCTTACATCTACACAAGGCACGCTACTAAGCGGTACCAGCCTTAGCTGGCGCTTATGTATGTTTTCAGACTCCCATCAGTCCAGGTGTTTTTATTTCCCAGAGAACTTCATTACTGTGGGGCAGGAGCACCTCATATGGGAAAGTTTGGATTTACCAAGCAAGGTAGCGAGTCGCTGTGCAAAGGGATTCTTCGGCTCTGAAGAGTGAGCATCCCTAGTGTCTGTTAATATGTCTCTGTACATAAACAGACCCTTGCTCAGAACGAGGTACCGGGGACATACTGCTCAGCAACTCTGCTTTGAAGATGCTCCAAGCTGGCCCTGGGTCTCCCCAGTGAGTCCCAGCCACTTTCTTAGTCATGTCTTTTTAAAAAACATTATTCCTTCTCTAGACATTTGTGGAACTCCTATTTTGTATGAGACACTGCACTAGGAGCTCTCCATAGGGGGATGAAAAATACTCAGCGTTGCTGTGCTCAGAAGCACGTAGTAAACAGGGAGATCAGCTCACAGGTATGTTCTAGACTGTTTTAGTGGCAGGATGCACAGGGGCGAAGGTTTGGACTCAAGCCTGGTTGCCTGGGTTCAAATTCTGGTGGTGCTGTGTGCCCTTGGCAGGTACTTGGCCTCTTTGCGCCTTATTTCCTCTTCTGAAAATGGAACTTCCTCATGCAGTCATGAGGATCTCATGAATTGATATTTATAAAACACTAAGGAGGTACTATGTGCTTTCTTGCTATTGTTAGGTTATTATCATACAGGCATACCTTGTTTCATTGTGCTTCCCTTTATTTCGCTTCACGGATCAGAGATGGAGAAGCATAATCAGAATTCGGGGAAGCACCTGTACACACATACCTCATTTTATTGGGCTTCACTCCACTGAGCTATATGGACAGTGTGTTTTCTACAAATTGAAGGTTTGTTGCCACCCTGCATGAGCAAGTCTATTTGTGCCATTTTTTCCTAAAAAAGCATTTGCTCGCTTGTGTCTCTCACACTTTGGTATTCTCCCAATATTTCAAACTTTGTCATTATTATTATATTTGTTATGGGGATCTGTGATCAGTGATGTTTGACGTTACTACTATAATTGTTTTGGGGAGCCAAGAACTGCACCCATACAAGATGGTGAGTAAGTAAATGTGTATGTTCTGACTGCCCCACCATCTGTCCCCCACCCCCACTTCATGTCTCTCTTCCTCCCCTCCAGCCTCCCTATTCCCTGAGACACAACAGTCTTGAAATTAGGGCAATTAATGACCCTACAATGGCTTCTAAGTGCTCAAGTGAAAGGAAGAGTCGCACACCTCTTGCTGTAAATCAAAAGCTAAGGGCACCTGGGTGGTTCAGTCAGTTAAGCAACCGACTCTTTATTTCAGCTCAGGTCAGATCTCAGGGCCCTGAGATTGAGCCCCGCATTGGTTCTGTGCTCAGTAGGGAGTCTGTTTGAGATACTTTCCTTCTGCCCCTCCCCCCACTCATGCTCTTTCACTCTAAAATAAATAAATCTTAAAAAAAAAATAAATCAAAAGCTAGCAATGACCAACTTTAGTAAGGAAGGCATGTTGAAAGCCAAGGTAGGCTGAAAGCTAGGCTTTTTGTGCCAAACAGCTAGCCAAATTGTAAATGCAAAGGAAAAGTACTTGAAGGAAATCAGAAGTACTATTCCAGTGAACACATGGATGGTAAGAAAGTGAAACAGCCTGACTGCTGACATGGAGAAAGTTTTTGGGGTCTGAACAGAAGATCAAGCCAGCCACAGCAGTCCTTTAAGCCAAAGCCTAATCTAGAGCAAGGCCCGAACTCTCTTCAGTTCTATGAAGGTTGAGAGAGGTGAGGAAGCTGCAGAAGAAAAGTTTGAAGCTGGCAGAGGTTAGTTCATGAGGTTTAAGAAAAGAAGCATTTTCCAGAACAGAAAAGTACAAGGTGAAGCAGCAACTGCTGAGGCAGGGGTGCAGCAAGTTCTCCAGGAGATCCAGCTCAGATCATTCGTGAAGGTGGCCACACCGAACAGCAGATTTTCAATGTAGACAAAACAGCCATCTATTGGAAGAAGATGCCATCTAGGACTTTCATAGCTAGAGAGGAGAAGTCAATGCCTGGCTTCAAAGCTTCAAAGGACAGGCTGACCCTCCTGTTAGGGGCTCATGCAATGGGTGACTTGAAGTTGAAGCTCATTGACCATTCTGAAAATCCTAGGGCCCTTAAAAATTATGCTAAATGTACTCTGCCTGTGCTCTACAAATGGAACAACAAAGCCTCCATGACAGTATCTGTCTTCAGCATCGTTTACTGAGTAGTTTCAGCCCACTGTTGAGATCTACTGCTCAGAAAAAGATACCTTTCAAAATACGACTGCTTGCTGACAATACACCTGGTCACCCCAAGAGCTGTGATGGAGATGGATCAAGGAGTAATATCAGCTTTCAAGTCATATCGCAGAAATACATTTCATAAGGCTCTAGCTGCCACAGATGGTGATTCCTCTGATGGACCGGGGCAGAGTAAAAAACTCAAAACCTCCTAGAAAGGATTTACCATTTTTGATGCCATTAAGAACATTTGTGATTGGGGTACCTGGGTGGCTCAGTCGGTTAAGCATCTGCCTTCAGCTCAGGTCATGATCCCAGGGTCCTGGGGTCGAGCCTCCTTGCTCAGAAGGGAGCCTGCTTCTCCCTCTGCCTGCAGCTCCCCCTGCTCCTGCACTCTCTCTGTCAAATAAGTAAAATACGTAAATAAATAAATAAGATCTTTTTTAAAAAGCATTTGTGATGCATGGGAAGAGGTCAAAATATCAATGTTAACAGGAATTTGGGACAGGTTGATTCCCACCCTCACAGCGGACCTTGAGGTTCAAGACTGCAGTGGAGATGTGGTGGAAACAACAAGAAAGTAGAATTAGAAGTGGAGCCTGGGGGTGGGACTGAGTTGCTGCAGTCTCATGATGAACCCCAAGCGGATGAGGAGTTGCTTCTCACAGATGAGTGAAGTGGTTTCTTGAGATAGAAACTGCTTCTGGTGAAGAGGCTGTGAAGACTGTCGAAATGACCACACAGGATTTAGAATATGACATACACCTGGTTGATAAAGCAGGAGCAGGGTTCCAGAGGACTGACTCTCACTCTTGAGAGAAGTTCTGTTGTAGGTAAAATGCTATCAAACAGCATCACCTGCTACAGAGAAATCATTCCTGAATGGAAGAGTCAAACTTCACTGAGGTCTTATTTTAAGAAATTGCCCCAGCTGCCCCAGCCTTTGGCAACCAGCATCTTGATCAATCCGCAGCTGCCAACAGTGAGGAGATATCCCTCCACCAGCAAAAAGAGTACGACTCGCTGAAAGCTCGGGTGATGGTTAGCATTTGTTAGCAATAAAGCGTTCTTTAATTAAGGTATGCACATAGTACTATTTATTACGCACTTTAATAGACTACAGTATAGCATCAACTTTACTGTTATATGCACTAACAAAATAAGTCATTTGAGTTGCTTTATTGTGGGGTCTAGACCCGAACCTGCAGTGTCTCCAAGGTATGCCTGTATTCACTTTTTTTTTTTTAAGATTTTAATTTATTCATTTGAGAGAGACAGCGAGCAAGAGCACGAGCAGGGGGAGGGGCAGAGGGAGAAGCAGACTCCCCGCTGAGCAGGGAGCCCAATGTGGGGCTTGATCACAGAACCCCAGGATCATGACCTGGGCCGAAGGCAGACGCCTAACCAACTGAGGCACCCAGACGCCCCTGTATTCACCTTTTTTTTAAATTTTTACTTTTACTGTATTAGAGTCAGTAGCTGGTTTCTGTGTGATGGTCATTCTCAGGTATCTACTGACCCTCCTTTTCCGGTCCAGTACCTGCTTCATGTGCACAGTATCACTTCTCTGATGTGCTGAGCACTGTGAATACACACATACGCAAGCTCATTAGTTGGGTTCAAATCTATGTTCTTTTAATATCGTCTGCTGATCTACATCATATGTTTTAGGAAAGCGTATTAAGATCTTTTTCTGTGATGGTAGACATGTCATGAGTACCTTCCTGCTGAACTCCTCCCCGATAAAGGAAACAAAATAGTGAGTTCTTTCCCCAGCGGTGCATTTTGCCAGCCTTCCTGTGATTCCTGTTTGCCTTGCGTAGCTTGTTTTAACTTTTCTTTGTTGTGGTGATTTAGAGGGTCTCTTGCAAATGGCATATAGCTGCATTTCTAAATTAAATCCAAGAAGTCCCTTTTAACAGGGGTTCACATGCCTGGGTTTACACACCCATGTTAGTGTTTTCTCATTCCCATGTTTCTTCTTGGCTGCTTTTGTTCCTTTTGTCTAGCTTGCATTACATGAAGCAGAGCATCTTTCCCACTTCTCTCTACTTCTTCCAGACTTGTATGTGTCAGTCGAGCATTCTTGTTTACCATTCATTTTCTTCACGCCTGTGCAGCTCTTAGGACATCTAAAGTTCATCAGTGTCCCCACCCTCCTCCCAGAGGCAAAGACCCAAATCCCTCCCTGAGGACCAGCACCCCATCTGTCATGTTGTTTTCCTGGACTTTATTTAGCTCGGTGCTCAATTGGACCCCCAAAGTTAGTCATTTCCATTTATTATGATTATTATTTCCAGTGAATGCTTATTTAGATTTACCTTGGTGTCTGAGTCAGTCTTTGTTCTGCCCGCATGCTCAGATGATTGGCTGGGTATAGAATTCTAGCTTGATGATTACTTTCCTTCAATACTTGGAAGAGTCTGTTTTCATTATTTTCTCACATTTGATGAGAAGGCCTACTCTTCCTTTGCATGTGATGCGTCTTTTCCCTCTGGGTGTTCTTAAGGTTTGCTCTTTGCCTTTGGTGATCTGCAGTGGGTTTGCTGTTCAAGAGGTTAGGAGAAGAAAGCTTGTGGTTTTAGGTCTTTACTGGGAAACCGTGTGTTTTCCCACACAGCAATTCCTTTGCCACTTTGCCAGGCTGGAAGGCAGACTCGTGTGGCCTTTTTCTAGATCCCGCAGGCTGCCGGGGCTCAGCCTCCTCCCAGATCTCAGACCCGGGCATGACTCCTGCCCAAGCCAGCATGTCCCCAGGTTTGGCGTCTGCTGGACCCTCCCTTTCCCAGCAGCCCCAGAGTATCTGTTCTGCCCCAACAAAAACAGAAGTAGCATTTCCGGAAGCCGGGTTTTGAAAGGCTGGCCGTCTGTGGTTTGACACAAGCAGAGGGGCTTGCTTCCTGAGGCAAAACGCACACACAGCTGCACACACGGGCCCTAGCTGTCTGTCCGCCAGTGCCCGAGCCTTGGCGTTGGGGGTCCGGGGGCACCCAGATGGAGAAGGGCCTGACTCTGGGGCCCGGGGTCTGTCACGAAATGCTGACCCCACCTCTCATCACTTGGAGACGCATCTGTTTATGCCCTGCCTGCGCTTGGGGCAAGGCGAGCTTCCTCCCACCACATCCGGCGTGCAGACCTGAGCGCAGCGCTGGCCCCACCTCCTCGGGAACACCTCGCTGGCCCCCAGAGGCCGCGCCCACCCAGGCGCTGCCCTTCACCCCCCGCCCCGTCCCCTTAGGGCACGGTCATGCACCGCACCGGCAGGGAACCCCTGCGACACCACGGAGAAGTGGCCTGCGCATTTCCACGGAGCGGGCCATGGCTGGGCGCCTCCTCATCCCAGCTGCACAGGGCCGGACAGGAGGTGACATTTTCTGGGCCGATTCAGCTCCCAGGGAGACTGGTTGCCCCCTTCCGTGCGGGACCTGCAAAAAACACACGGCTCACGTGAGGATGCCCGTGGATGGGGTCTTGCCTTTACCCATAGATTTCTCTAATGAGGACAGGCACCTAAATGCAAAATGAAGGAGCGTAATTCGATAAAGGCCATTTGCCTGCAATGATGGCTTGGAACAGATGAACAAGATGAAAGTCCCCGAATGCCAGAGTTTGCTGAGCCTTTAAATCCTGTAACAGAGGATGGGGAGGAAAGCAGCCCTCCCCTGGCCGCCCCACTCCAGCGGCAGCTGTCGTTGGGCTTGGCATGCCGTCAGAGGGAGACACCCTGCCTCCATCTATAAAATCCACCTTCTTTTCTTTAAAAGATGAGGAAGGCATTCTAGCTCTGTAAAGATTTCCAGTGTGGTGAAGCTCCAGCCAGAGAGGTCAGCTGATCCTCCCGGAGGGCCCCTTCCTGGCTGCGCCTGGGACCCAGCTACTGCTCTGTCTCCAAAGCAGGCACCAGAAACCCCTGGCTGGTCTTAAAACCATTTTGGTTGAGCTTGAGATGAGAAAAGAAAACATGGTTTGAGGGCAAGTTCTTATTTGTCCCTTTAAGATTTGATTTTTTTTTAAGATTTTATTTATTTATTTGACAGAGACACAGCAAGAGAGGGAACACAAGCAGGGGGAGTGGGAGAGGGAGAAGCAGGCTTCCCGTGGAGCAGGGAGCCCGATGTGGGGCTCGATCCTAGGACCCTGGGACCATGACCTGAGCCGAAGGCAGGTGCTCAATGACTGAGCCACCCACGTGCCCCAAGATTTGAGTTGATTTTAGAGTGCGCGCACGAGCCAGGGAGGGGCAGAGGGGAGGATCGCCAGCAGACTGCGCCGAACACGGAGCCCACACAGGGCTCGATCCCACCACCCTGAGATCATGACCTGAGCCGAGACCAAGAATCAGATGCTCAACCGACTGAGCCACCCAGGGCCCCTATTATTCTTTCAGATCAATCCACTCTTTTTGGTTGTTATTGTGGTAAAATACACAGAACATAAATTTACCATCAGCAGTGCTGGGCAGCCATCACCACCGTCTAGTTCCAGAATGTTCTCATCACCCCAGAAGGAAACCCCATACCCTTTAAGCAGTCCCTCCACACCCCACTCCTCTGTTTCTGTCCTGTGGATTTGGGTAGTCTGCGCACCTCAAGGGAGCGGAATTATACAATACATAGCTTTTTGGGCCTGGCTTCTCTCAGCATGTTCTCAGGGTTCATCCATGTTGTAGCCTGGGTCAGTACTTCCTTTTTATGGCTGAATAATATTTCATTGAATGGATATACCAGTTGGTTCCTTCATCGGTTGATATTTGGATTATTTTTGCCTTTTGTTTATTGTAAATAATGCTGCCGTAAACATTCCAGTACATGCTGTTGTGTGAACATCTGCTTTCAGTTCTTCTGGATGTATCTCCAGGAGTGGAAGGAATTGCTGGGCTGTGTGGTAATAACTCGATGTGTGACTTACTGGGGAGCCACCAGACTCAATCCACGACATCTTTGTCACCTGTCGATGGCTGTGTGGGGACAGCGCCCACAGATGTTGCTTTAGCCCAGCTCTTAAGCCCAGAAGGCTGTTCTCCTTCCAGCCCGCATTGTTCTATTCTAAAATCATCACATGTAGCCCATCACCTTCCACTTCTGCCCAAACCCCACAGCACGCCATGAAGACAGGCTGGGAATCAGCACAGGGCCGCTCAGGGAGATGCCAAGGGAAGAAGCAAGGAGTGCAGGCACGGACTGTCACTTAGTTTGACAGTACGGAATATTCCTTTGCTAAGGGGCAGCCCTCCCTTGTAGAACCGTCCCATTTTACAGGCTGTCTGGCCACTTTCCCTTTGGGATGAACTTCATGGGCTGGGCATGCTTCAGCCCTACAAGGGTCTCAACCAATTTCGCCCAGCATTTATGAGTGTTTGGAGTTGGCAGAGTTGTGGTGCTGGGAGGGAACAGTTCGCAGA